GTCTCCACCCCAATTTCATCTCCCAGCATGAGCCTCCCACTGCCAGAGGAGCTGGATCTCAAACCAGGGGACCTGAGCACCCTAGCTAAAGAAATTCTGGGGACTGAGGGGGAATCTGACTTTGTGCTCCACACACCTCAAAGTTCCCCTAGACCCAGGTCTCCTTCAGGAAGGCACCTCAGAGGAGGTTGTGGAGGCAAGTGGCTCAGCTGAGTCAGCTTCTCCTGTTGTTGTTCCTCTGTCTGTTGAGGAGGGAGATAGAGGCAGGATCCCCACCATCCACCCAGGAGTCGGGGGAATAGCATAGTGTGAGATCATTTTGAGGTGGCAAATGATCCCAGGTATGCTATCTGCCAGCACTGCCAAGGGCAGATCAGCTGGGGCAAGAAAGTGAAACACTTCATCACCACAACGATGCTGCTGCATCTGGGGAGGCAGCACCCCCTTGCCCTTCTTCCTCCTCAGCCTGGCATAAGTGGGAGTGAACCCAAAGGGAAGTCCCTCACTCGCTCCAAAGCCCCTGTCCCACCAAAGCAGAGGCAGGCCACCCTGGACCAGTGGGGGAAAGCTGCAGACAAAGTGGAGTGCGTTACAAGGGCGAGCAAGATCACCCAGAGCACTGGGGAGATGCTTGCTATGGTTGGCCAGCCCTTCTCCCTAGTTGAGCCAGGGTTTAGGTGGCTCATGGCACTCGTGGCCACATCCTACCAAGTGGCTGCATGCACCAACTTCAGCAGGATGGTGGTGCCCTCCTTGTATGAGGCATGCAGGGGGTACTTGAGGGAGGAGCTGCACAAGACAGGGCCACAGGTAGCCTTGCACTTCACCTCCAACATCTGGAGCAGCCAGGGTGGCAATCACACCTACCTCTGCCTCATGGGGCACTGGTGCAATCAGTCAGGCTGTCAGTAGGCTCTCCTTCAAGACAAGGTGATGGATGAGTCCCACATGGCAAAGGAGATCATGGTGGCAATGAGCCACATTGTACAGGGGTGGCTCGACGGGCAGGGTGAGCTCACCCATGGGTTCATGGTCACCAACAATGGGGCCAATATGGTCAAGGCCATCTATGATGCCAACTTTATTGGCATCCGCTATGTGGTGCACAAGCTGCACCTTATAGTCAGGGATGCCTTGGAGGGGGCCATCACTACCACCCAGCTCATTTCAAACGGCAGGAAAGTGGTGGGCTACTTCCACCACAGCATCAAGGGGGGCAAGATGCTGTGGGAGAAACAGGCAGAGCTGAGCATCCCACAGCACAAAATCATGCAGGATGTGGAGACTCAGT